GACCCGGGCTCCCACCGCGCCCCACCAAATCCTGACACCGCCTGCCTCAAATCCTTCAGGATTATTTGCTTTACTGGGGTTTATTGTACAATATACTTCCTATTTCCTTCGCTGGGTGGAACCGTGGTTTCTTTGAGGACCACCAGACCCACAAGAACGCTGCCCATCCCGCGGGGACCTCCTGTCCCACCAGGGCAGGAAAACAGCACCTTTGGTCGTTTGGCTTTCTGGTAGCGGGTCATCTCGTGGTGGGTTTCACGATACCATCACCACCGACATCATGTGAAATTGCTCCATGGCAAGGAAGGAGTGAGGTCATCAGCTATTTTTTTTTTTTTTTTAAAAAAAAAAGCACCAGAAGCAAAGAGGTGAAGGGTAAAACAAACTTCTTCCACCGCACTTTGCTGCTGTTGTCGTTTAGGTGGAGCTGGAAGAAGGCAACAGCGGCCGATATGAACAAGGGGGTTCCAACTACCTGGAGCAGCCCCACAGAGCCTGTTAGGAGACACTGGGAGAGAAACCTCGTTCCTTTTTTTTAAAAAAAAAAGTTTATTAGAGAATTTAGATGGAACCAGTGCAGCTAAAGCTGAAGGTTTTCATCATGAGTTAAGTAGGTGTTCTGCCCACCAGTGATCAATGACAATTTTTAGCTTGGCAAGGAAGAACAACGTAGCTGGGTGAAATGCTGGCCCCGCTGAAGCCTGAGGGACGGCAGCAGCAGGATTTCCACCCAGCTGGGATCCCCTCACCTTGGCTTCTCGCCTTTCCCAGTTCACCCTGCGCTTTGCTGAATGCCTCGTTTTTGCTACGGTTTGCATATATTTACAGAAAAGGCAACTGAGCAAAAAGAGAAAAGCGAAGATCTCTGCGGAGGAGAACAACAGGTGGGGAATTACCTGCGTCCTTCGTAGCAAAGGGCGCTTCTGGAAGCACCAACATGCGTTTTGGTGGCTGCAGACAACCAAAGCTGGAAGACGGGATGTGGGTAAGACGCCAGTAGGTCCAAGAAACGTCCTAATCTTTCTTTCTTTGATGGAGATTCTTTTGGAAGCAAAGGATCTAAGAAAAGAATTCGTAAGGCTGCAACCTGACTTGCCTTTTGATCTGTTTGGCTTCATAAAAATGAATAAATCTCTCTTTAAATAACTTCAGGAAAGTACAGCTTCATGTATCGTCAGGGGAAGCCCTCCAACACACACATCGATTTGCTTTCACAACGTCAGCTCGTAATTCCACTGCTGCTGGGATTTTAGCACACAGACGAAGTGTTAAAAAAAACCAACCATCACCAAAAAAAAAAAAAACCAAAACCAACCCAGAAAACCCAAAAACCTGCTTCGGATACAAGAGTCTCCCCGGTGCTGGGTTCAGGGTGGGAAGGGTGCGAGGGCTCACGCTTCACCCAGCTGCCCCATCGCTC